TCTGCATCTTTAATTAAATGGTGTTTTTAGAGGTGCACCGCTGCATGCACCCCCAGGGGAGGCATGGAGGGCATGTGCCCCCCGGGTCTGTGTGCGGTACAAGGGTGGGCTGCCACGGTGTCAGGCTCTTCCTGGCAGGGAACTGGGCCGGGACTGCATTTGGGGCATGCGGCAGCGCTGGGCGGGAGGGCTACAGTTTGCCGTAGCCCCCCCATAGCTCCCCCCTCCCACCACCCACCCCAAGCACAGCCCTGGTCCAGCCCCCTTCAGGGAAGAGCCCGGTGCTGCCCCCAGCCCCAGTGGCAGCCTGCCCTCACCCAGTGCACAGATCCAGGGGGCACATGCCCCCCATGCCTTCCTGGGGGATGCATGCAGCATTGGGAGCCGTCTCCCCACACACACCCTAGATGAGCCGCTTGCAGCTGTCCCATGCCTCGCGCTGGCTTGGCAGTGCCTGCCTCTGCCCCTGTTCCAGTCCCACTCCCTCCTTCACTGCAGGGGCTTCAATCTGCCCAGACTTACCAGCCGGACGCTGCTCTTCAAGCTGCCAGGCTGCATATCAGCAATCAGATTGGTATCAACTGATATGGCTCATTAATATGGCCATCAGTATCAGCCCAGAAAAATCTTTAATCAGTGTACCCCTAGTGTTTTTTTGTTTTAAATATAATAGAGACCTAGCTGCCCTGCTGTATCATTTAGAGCAGTGGTTCTCCACCTTTTTTGTACCAGGACCCATTTGTAAACCTGAACGGCCAGACCCGACCTAGTGCCCCTCACTCCCAACCTGTTGCCCCTCTATATGTGGGGCAGGGGCTGGGTGCGTGGGATGGGGGTGGGGGGGGCCCGCAAGCAACCCCTTGTAGGCTGGAACTCTTAACCTGCAAGGGAAAAGGCAAGGTTTACCACATTTTTTTCCTTTAAAAGAGAATCCATTTTTAAAGTTTGTTGATCCATTTATAAAATCTGTTCACAACCCTTTCATATATTCTTGTGACCCATTTTTGGGAACGCAACCCATGGGTTGAGTTAAACTGATTTAGAGTATCTTGCCAATCCTTTGTACAGTGGTATGAGGATTTCCCCCTCTTTAAAATATCTAACTTGATATCCTAGAATTGCACTAGCCTCTCATGGCTACACCACACTGTTAACTCATGACCATCCTAAAACTGATCAATATACCCAGATCCCTCTCACCCTCTCATTTCCAGGCTATGAGCCTCCACCTTGCATCAGATATTTTTGGCATCAGTAATTCAGTACAGGACTTGCACCATTACATTTTAATAAATTTCTATTACTCCCCTCCACATGGTTATCTAATTCTTTCTATACCATAATTCAGTCTTCCTCAGCATTGCCAATACTATGCAATTTTGTCATCCACAAATTTTACACACGCATACACTTGCTCTTGCATCAGGGGTGCTTCTTAAAAATCTTAATCCAGGATATATCCAAATCCACGAGAAATATCAAACTAGTAACACTACTTTAGCCAGTCCTTCTTTACTTTAAAAATTAAAGTATAATTCCCATCTTGACCACTTTAGATGATAAATTCCCATGAGGCACATCAAAATGCTTTTTTAAATCCAGGTAAATTAGATTCACTGCATCACCCTTATCTTAGAAGTCAGTTATTCTATCACAGGATATTATGTTAACCAAATGCAACGTCCCTAGGATAAACCCATACTGCATTTTATTCTATTTCCCATTTCCTTACAGTTACTTGATTTTTCTTTAGTATAAAACCCTGCATAATATCAAAGCCAAACTAATCGTACTAGTAACCTAGGTCCCACTCAACTCCAGTTTGTTTGTTCGTTTGTTTTGAATTTGACACTACAATTCTCTAATCATAAAGTATCATGATCAAATTAAGACATTCAATGAAAATCCTTCCTACAAAATTTGCAACTTCATGCATCAGTACTTTCAATATTCTGGGATGAATAATACTTGGACCCTCTAATTTTGTCACAGTAAACAGTCTAATTTTTACTTCCACCACTGAGTTCCAATGTGGGAATTTCCATGAGTTGGTTCCATTACCATTATCCTCAGCGAGTCCTTATTGAAGACTGAGGCAAAGTACTCAGCTACAACAGCAGAATAATGAACAATTAAACTAACTGGGACCTACTCCAGGGCAGATGTTACGAAAACATGCAGTGGGAATGGTAGCCTCCAAAAATAAAAACCGCTTTAGACTAACTGAAGGTACAGTTTAATAAAATGACTGCATTTTAAACTACTCTGTTAGCATAAAGGAATTCAGGAAGGTATTTTTACTAAGAGCTCACAACATTTCAAGAGAGACTCTGGTAACCTTCTAGTGCCATTAAACAGATAACTTACAAATCCCATCTGAAGCATCTATACCTTCAAAATGCACATTAACAGCATAGTCACAAAAGTTCAGAAGAACATATCCAGGGAGACAAGAAAAAAGGTGACAAATTGGGGATAAAAATAGTATTTGTTTTATATCTTTCTAATGGATTGTCATGTGCATTGTACCAAACAAAGTTTCATTCCTTTTGACAGCCACAATCCCTACATTCTTACCCTGTGACAATAAAAATGCAGTTATTCCTGTGAACATAATTTTCAAAATATATAATCCAATCAACATAGGTTGGCACCTTCTTTTAATCAGGGATCCATTAGATGGTACTCAGAACTAATTTCTGGGCCCTGCTTGGAAAGAGGGTTATGTATGTGGGGATGGGGAGGTATAAAAAAATATATAGAGATCCCCAATTCACTGCTGTGGGCGTTAAATACTGATGCATTTGAAAAGCTCTCATAAAACTGAGCCTTGAAACTAATTCAGAACTGTACAAAAAGAACCAGCCCCAGAATTTTCCATCTAGAAGTAGAAATACCCAAAGCTCCATGGCTTGTGTCACAGCATACTCTGCTGGACAGTCAAGGAAAAGAACAAGAAAAGTCATTAAAAAAAATGTGAATGTTGAAGGGACCTGCAATTGCATACCAATGGTAAATGATACAGATTTTAAAATGTTTGCTATTTTTTGTACTTCAGCTTAAACAGTGAAGACTCCTGATACCATCAAACACTCCATAACACTCACACTTAGAGCAACAATTCTTCAACTTTGTATGCAAATAGAACTACTGTACATACTTGATTCTAAGATAAGGTTTTTGTCTTGGGCTCCAGCTCTAACCCGGGGTCAGAAACAGCTGCAGCCTGTCTCCCCACCATTTCCCTCCTGCAACCTTTCCCTCCTCCCACTACCCCTCTCCCCCCACACAGCCTCTGCTCCCCTACCTGCCCCTCTCCCTCACCGCTGATCCATACCAGGATGTTCTGTGCATGCTGCAGCCTTGGACACTGGGCATGGGCCTAGCCTGGACCTGTTGCAGCAGCACACAGCCCACTTAGATGCTATGTGCCCAGGCTAGAACAGGGATGGAACCTGCCACTGTGGAGCAGAGGCTGGGTCGAAGGGACGGGGGGAGCAAAGAGGACCCACGACTGCAAGGGAGCAGAGGTGGCAGGGAGAAGCAGGGAGCAGAGGCTGGAAATGGGGACCCAAAGCTGCAGGAGGGCAGGCACAAGAAGGGTGCAAGCTGACTGATCTCCCCACACTACCTGCCCCCCTGCAGCAGTGGAAGGGATGAATTAAAGACAACCCTCCAATAATTAGATCCGATACATGAAAAATTATAACAACTTTTTACATTTTCCATGTATCAAATCTAATGGGGGGAGGGAGGGGGCCATCAGGTTTGTCTTAGATTTGAGTAAATATGGTGTTCTGCTTTTCTAGCTTTTAAAATGCCACTTGTAAGAGAGGCAGTTTCATTTAATCTTAAATTTGCCACCTCTGATTTCAAATCTACAGGAGTAATCTGCTTTGGTGCCTTTGGAACTTCAAAAACTGCTAATATTATAAGCTGGATGCCTGATATACAGTGCCTGCAGAGCTACACAAGTACCAATTTTAAAAGATACATGCTTCCAAGCCTCCCATAGATAAAACTCTTGCAAGTACAATCCTTATACATTCTTAATCTTAAAACTTGATGCGATTTAAATGCTGGACTATAAAATAGATGATAAATAGCAGCTCTCATTGCTACAGATTAACAGAACAGCAAATAGTAAAATAACTTTGACACAAAGGTACTATAAGGTTTTTGTAAGACCTACTAGACTTCAAGAACTGATGGATTTGATCCACTGTAAACCTGAACTATTATTACTTGTCAGTTCTTCAAGGAGTTTTTCTATTAAAGACATCAGCAAAAGACTGCCAAAAAAATAATTGACACCAAAATAATTCCACCTAAATCTCCCCATATAGCCCCTTCAACTGCAGGGAAATAAAATTTAAAGGTACTGTTCGCAGACACATGCATTTTTTCATTTCAAGTCTAACTGAAAAAAAAAAATCCCAGATATTTAAAGCAATCTGACCCAAAGAATATTTTTATAATAGGAGCTCTAATACAACTCAACCTTAAATGTAGTTAGAAGTTAAGTGAATTTATGAAAAGCAGCAAAACATATCTACAAGCATTTACTTATTTTTAAACTTCTTCTAAGGACATTTAAATTGCATCTGTATGTATATCTGCTACTTTTAACTTAACATGTCAGAGTAAACAAGTCAACACACAACTTATTAGGCCAGCAGACTATCCGAAAACTTAAACTAGCTCAAATAATTCTGAAACTGACATACCTGGTAAACTGATTATGAGAAAGTCTTTGTCAAATTCTACAAAAAATACACCTCCAAACTATCTTTATGAAGCTGTTTGTGATCTAACCTTCCTATGTCCCCAGCATCATCCCTATGGAATGATAAAATATTAGCCACTATACCTTTCCATAGCTCTAAGGAACCACGTCAGACTACATGTAGCATATATGGCCACAATATATTTAATAAATTGGATTTTCAATAGTGATTTAATGGTTCTTTTTAATTAAAGAGGCTCTGGACATATCTTACCCTGTTAAAATTGTGTTCATGCGAATCTTCAAGCTGGCCATTGGTAGTTACAGAAATTTCCGCTGCCGAATTTTTGGGAGACTCTTGAGCCATTGCACTGACCTAGTAATGTAAAAAGAAAAGGTTAGTACTTGCCTAGATTGGAACATTACTAGATTTCTACATGGACTAGATATCAACTACTGATTTTACATATAAACCACTTCTAAACTCAGATCTTAATTCTGTAACGTTACTTAGATTTCATAGACATTAGGGCTGGAAGGGACCTCAGAAGATCAACGAGTCCAGCTCCGTGCCCCAAGGGCAGGAAGTCAGCTAGAGTCAAAGACTCCCAGCAAGATAAGCATCCAACTTAGATATGCTAAGTCCTTGTGCATCCCAAAAATCACACCCCAAAACTTAGCTGTTATATGACACAGAGCTTGCAAAAAGCCCCCAATAGTTTGGCAGCTTCACAATTTGAGAGAACAAAAGAATTTGAAACTGTCTCAGTGTCGTAATGGCTTTTTAATGGTAATTAAAAAGTGTCATTTCAGTTCACCTGAGACCAAATCAGAGTCCAAGAGGAATAACATCTTAAAAGCCCTGAATGGAAAAGTGTTTATACTTCTTAATAGCAAATGGGTCCAAAAACAGCGCGTATTAATTCTCATATATAACCATAATGCACTTGGCATACCTTACATATTCCATAAAGTGAGGCAGGTTTGAAAGAAAAAAAATCTACTGCCAAATAAAGAAGCATGGCCTGGGGAATGCAGCAACATTAATCACTGTGTGTACAGAATGTAAGTTTTCATTTTAACTAGTCATATTTCCAGCCCTTGCGTAGATATATGGAACAACATAATTTAGTGCTGTCTGTTGATGCTTTTGGCTCTGTCACTGGCAGCAGATCAAAGTTAATCAACTCACTCCTGCCATTCAGAACGTCAGATCTACTGAAATTCAAGAATAAAATCAGCTTCATATTACTTCTGCCTCAAAATTATAAGCAGCAACAGAGGTAATTGCTGGAGTCATTCATGCCAAATGAGGATTCAAATTAAAGCTGCAAGGAAGAAATGGAATTAGATGACAATCTTTTCTCAGCAGCCCTCTTACAACAGTTATGAAGTTTGAAGAAACAGATGCATCTTCTTTTCCAATTACTAGAGAAAGTTGAAGTTTATTACATATAAAAAATGGAGCCTCCAAACAAAGTAAAAGAACAGCACACCTGTGACATGGAAGGTACACTTTGCACACACAAGCTACCCTTAAGGCCCTCCTGTGGTACACCTTTTGACAACTGGTTTATTCACCTAAAATCCATTCATCTTGTTACAGTAATGGTACATGAAGCCAGATAAAGAAATCTTTTTACTACTTTTCTGAAAGTGATATGTGCACACAACAGCAGATTTTTGTCTTTGTTCTCCCCCCTTAAATGAGATGCAGAACACTGAAGACTTACTTGCAAGTTACTCTCTACTTTACTTATAACAGCCAAACTAACAGACTTATTAATCCTAAAACATCTGGCTTTCCAGATAAAAGGTTGTGCCAAAACAGTGAATTGATCACAATTGAAAAAAAAAAAAGAGTACTACCCGCTCTTCCAATAAAGTGTAGCAAACGGAATAACTGATGTGGTTCAATGGTTTTACACAAACTTGGTTATGGTAACCTGCATAACTCTTGCTGACAAAACTTCCCTCATGCTCAACAGAGTATTTTTCCCATTTCCTCCATCATTTCAATGGTGTTGCTAATTGAGTACCTTGGTACAAGGAATATTTCAGTTAGATCAAGAGGACCTTCCCTAGATTAAAGTAATACCGAGTTTTCTAATCCATCACTACTTGTGTCCGATGCATGCATTTGTATTCCCATGTTTCTCCATCACAGGATGGATTTTCAAAGCTTAAATTGAAGGAGACACCAAAATTCAAGCGGCACAGTGAAAGGCGAAACAAAACAAGATGGTAACCCCCTCTCTCAGCAAACCAGGATGACACTGCTTCTTTGGTATTGCCAATCTCTACCAGCCAAGGAAACTGGGACCAAGATAAGAAACAGATCTTGAGCTTCCATTCTGCCCTCCCACGTGGATCAGGAAGTGCACTGCATTAGCACAAGGCAGCTAGCCAGTAAAATGAAGAACACCTGCAAATGTGCTTTCATCAGAGTAAAAGTGCGCCCAAGATTGTCTAATGTGAACCTGTATGGTCTTGCAGTGCAGTGCACAGGATTGTGTGCTAGCCATAACAATTTTATTTAGCACCAGCAGGTTGCTTTAACAACTTTATATTTTTCAATGACTCTTAACTGGCTGTGGAACGAAGCTTGCTGCTTTTAACTAAAACAAACTTAACTACACAAGTAGTTATGGCACAGAGAGCTTGGAGGTGAATTTACAGTGTACTGGCTGCTTCTTGCTAACTCCCTAACATGGGAACTTCTGTGCACTAAGAGTACAACAGATTCCTCTTTCTCCTTCCTTCTCCCATGCTCCTGCTCCTCTCTCTTCGTGTCATAAAGCAGTATTTCATCAGGGTTTGAGGAATTCTTGTGCAGCTGCACTCTTCTATTTCTCTATTCCTTGTTTGAAAGCAATGTGAAATTTCGGGGGGGGTGGGGTTAGTCTTGTCATAAAAAAAGAAGAGTAGAAACTCCTCTGTGGAAACATGAAATAAGAAGTTTGCCTTGGACTATTTCAACTTTGTTTCTTTACTATTATCAGGTGCCTCTTTGGGCCAAGGTGAAGATCACCTGAAAAAGTGAGCTGTCTTCTTCTCTCCTCCATCTCCTCAAAAACGTAAAAGGAATGAAGTTGTTTCCAAGTCAGTAGGACCAAAATAGTGAAAGGTACTTAAAGGCTGAGTTGACATTATCTAAAGGCCAAATACCAAAAGTGTAGTGTGCAGCAACTGATCAAGTTTTTCAAGCACCAGGATTGGCCACCGCTATTAAAAGGACTTAAGTATTTTTTTTCCTAACTAACTTTGTCTTTCACAAGTCTATAAATATGGTTGTGACCATTAGATTTAAAATGGCAAGAAAAGCTGTCTGTCCCAGTTATAGGACAAACTCAATTCGTTATATGACACAGCTCCTTGGAAAAGGATTGGCTTTTATTTTGGTTCTTGCAGAGTGCCAAGCACTTTGAAGTAAATAATAAGCAGCCTCAAAAATAACAGGTTTTCTTTCTAAGCTGATCCTTTAAAAGGCCCAAAAACCTCATTAATGAAATGCAATAAAAATAAAATGATCACATCTGCCTTTCTGCAGCTTAGCTAGCTGTCCTTGAAGATCCTGCCAATCGCACAGTACTTGTTCTCAGCTGCTAAAGTCACACTGAAAGTAACAAGTGCATCAAATGCTTCACTAACATATTTTCACATAAACAACTTCCAAGGTTGTTAAAAGAATGCTATTCAATTATCAGTGAAAGGAAAGATGGACTATGAATGACAGAGGAATTGGTTCAAAAGAAAAAAATCACTGCCAAAATGTGGCAGATAAGACTAAAACATGAAAGCTTCCTACATGAAATCCTTGTGACACATTAAATATATTAACAGATTAAATATGTTAAGTATGTAACAGATTACGTATGTTAAATACGTTAGTCTCTATTTCTAGTGAGATAAAGTACATATCTATCTATAAACTGCTCTACAAATCAGCCATTGTATTCAACAATCCCAATCGTTTTTTAAATGTATCCAAGGAGCCCAGAGAAAAAAAATGATAATATACTGTACAATGTGAGAGCGCCCTCATGTGGCACTCACACTGTACATACGCATTAACATTCAATCCTCTTTGGCTAATGCTGCATTTCTGCCCTGCTGTCACAGGGTAGTAGTGGATTAGTTTTTGTCCCATTCCACTGGTTTTATTTATTCTTTTTTTTTTTTTTTTTTTTTTTTTACAGCTCCAATAATCCCAACATATGTACAATCATTATAAATCTACCCTGTGGCCTGCACACAAAACTGGGCAACTTGGAAAACAAAGTCTACTTTAATGTGGGAAGGTTATACATAAGCACAGAAAAATGGCTTCTGCATTTGCTGTATGTGATGTGTGCTGCTTTGCACTTTTGGAGGTTATGGGCCTTTTATCTTTTTTCTTGCAACATCTGCCAGGTTAACACAAGATCATAAAACAGGATTTACTTACCACACTTTCTATCTTGTGTATATTCCAATACAAAACAGTGCCTACAGATAGTTATTCTGTAGTCATACAAACAATGTACGTTAAAGTACTTTGTAAGCATAAGAGAATTCAGGAAGGTATTCTTACCAAGATCTCATAAAATTGCAAGAGAGATTTCCTGATCAATAAATAATAAAAATGAGAACAAAGTGATCTGGGGTTTGACTTTCCATCATGCTAGACACATGGAAAAAGATTTTCAAGACACTAACTTTACAAACCTATAATTATGGAA